AGTTCCTATGGCCACTTGGCCAGTGCGAACGCAAAAAGCAAAACTGAGTTTAGGGGAAAGTAGTTCTTAGAACTGTTTAGAAGTGGACAGTTCCTATAACTAAGTTCCTGTAACTATTTGGTCGGAAAGCGGCTAATTTCATTGCACAAATGTTGGTTTGGTCGTTCTGAAATGCCTAAACCAAAGTCTGTCATCAACATGATTTGGTATAATGACCTCCCAGAAGCATCTCACATTGTTGCGTTCCCAAGCATCAGGCATTACAACACTGCTTTATTCGCAAGTGTTTTATGCGATAGTCCAAATTTCCAGACAAGTTAAATTCACAATTTTTAGTGGAAAAATAGCTAATGTTAAAAACGTTTGTGCTTATTTGAAATAGAAATCTTTTGTAATATTATAAATGGCTTTACTGTCACTTTTAAACTATTTAATGCATCCTTGCTGAACAAAAGTATTAATTTCTTTCAAAATATTGAACCCCCCCCCCCCCACACAAACACACACACACACACACAATCTTACTGACCTTTATGACTCAACACAATATTTGACTGTAATTATGCAACAATGCTTATTTTCAAACTTTTTTGTATTAACAGAAGCTGGGAGTTACTATATTTATTGAATTACTTTTATTTAGCATTTTAATGACAATTAGAGTTAAATTATTTCAATAAAAAAAAAATAGTATTAATACATTAAAAAATATATAATAAATTTATTGATCTGAATCCAAATGTTTTTTATCACGCGACTGCAAAGGTCTTTGAAAAGGAAATTTCTTGGTCACAAAGTGCTATATTGAAATGTAAATAGCACAAGAGACAGCTTTGGATATCAACATTTTTAAATTCCCTGATATATAGATATTCATATAAATATATTTATTATGTGTGTAATGTGTATTTGCACAAATCCAGACTTAATCACACTGGTGCATGAACAATCTTGCTTAGGATTTTTTTCTTCTTCTCAGTATGTTAATGGGATTTGTTTTTCGGTGCCCCGTCTCTCAGATGGCCCGCGAGGACAAGCGTAAGGGCGTGTCGTTTGCCAGCGAGCTCCGGAAGCTCACGGGTCGGAGTCGGAGCTTGACTGTGAACACGAGCACGAACGGCCCCGCGGCCCAGGAGCCGGCACACAGTAAGGAGGAGAAGGCTGCATGTCCCAGCATGATGCCTCTGCCCGAGGCTTCGGAGTGAAGAAACACTCTGCAGTGTGTGTGTGCAGTGCATGGAGCTCCACCAGGTACCAGACACTAACACACAGCAGCCTTTATTAACACTGTACAGTCTGAAATCTAATAGACACATTCAGCTGGCCCTGGAGAAAACATTATTGATGGTATGATTTAGTCAAAGTTGTTAGTCTCTCTGTGCTGCTAGTTGAGCAACGCTATCTGAGAGTTTGCCATTCTTTGTTTAACAGTTTTATTAATGAGCAGTGCACCATGTCTTTACTAGCAGTGAAGAGTTATTAATGGCATGTAATATTTAATGGACCTCAATCATATTCAATTTGCCGCGAATGAATATGAGGTGTAAAATATAGTCATTGGTGTTTTATCACTGTAAGACGGACACCTTTAAAATAAAGGGTAACCAGACCGTGTAATTATACATTTAAGCACTGAGTAATTATAATTAACCTGTACTTGGTATAGGGTTAGGTTAAGATTAAGGTTTGGTTTAGAGTTAGTTGCTTGATTTATAGTGAACACTGTAGTAACTAAATGTAACATGTGAAACAAGGACACTGTAAAACAAAGTGTTACCCAACATATCTGACACTCTATAGCTGTGTTTGAAATCTCCCCCTGTACCCTCATTCAATATTCCCTATATTACTGCACTAATGTAGTCCACTAGAAGGAGTGAATGAAAACAAGTGAGCGGATTCAGACACTGAGTGCGCTGGAAGGGCTGTCATGTAAACTAGCTTGTATAAATCTTATCTAAACTATTTAATTATCAATTAAAAAAATATATTATACCTGTATATTACGCTGTAGCCACATTGGAGCAGCAGTTTGGAAAATGGATGGATGGATGATTCAGCTGCGGGCGCCATCTTCTGGTGAGATGCGGGAATTCATTCTGCATGAGACCTTACAGTGCATTATGGGTATTCTCTAGCCCTTGAGTGTTCATCAGTTGTACACTCGTTATTGCAGTGCATTATGGGTATTCTTGAGTGTTCATCAGTTGTACACTCGTTATTGCAGTGCATTATGGGATTGAATGAGTGCGCTCGATAATGTCCACTAGTTTCGGACACCACTACAAACGGCTGTCTCCTCAAATAATGCCCTATTTAAGGGTATAGGGGGTGATTTCAGACACAGCCTATGTCTGTTCCTCACAGCCTCGCTTTCGTTCATGTCAAATCAAAATGTGACTATTTATACACTGCCCGGCCCCCCCAAAAAAGTCAATGATTGGATCATTATTGCATCCATAATATTGAATATTATGTTTGTTTTTTTAGCATGTTATATGTTTGGCAACAGCTCTTTTAACCCATTGATGGAGTGTGTAGCTTTTCATTTCTTAAAAAAAAACATGAAGGAAGACACATCATGGCCATATTTCAGGATGACAATGTCAAGATTCATCAGGCTCAAACTGTGAAAGAATGATTGTGAGAGAGCATCAAGGATCATTTTCACACATGAATCGGCTCCTCTGAGTCCAGATCTTAAACTCACTGAAAGTCTTTGGGATGTGCTGGAGGAGACTTTACAGAGTGCTGGACTCTTGCATTGTCAATACAAGATCTTCACCAAAAATGTATGCACCTCTTCATGGAAATAAATGTTTTGATGTTATTTTCATCAAGAGGAGCATCCATTTTTGGTTAGGATCTCGTATAAATGCAGCCTTGGTGAACAACATATCTTACTGAACCCAAACTATTGAACAGTAGTGTAATAACAAAAGTTCACAAATATTGAGGACATAAATGTAATTTATTAAGCAAATTCATCGAGTGGCATTTTTGAGATGTCAACAGAAACAGCATTTGCTCTGTGTCTGCAGTGCAGTGATATGAACAGGTCAACAGCTGTTATTCTCATTTAACACAGCTGGAACACTATAACCAATCAGCATCCAGGTCTAGAATGATCCACTTTGTTACAAAACATTGCAATAATGCATCACGTTCGGATCAGTCTCATGTGAAAATGTCCCAGTTGGCAGTTGTTGCTGTTGGACTGCAACTAACCTGCATCTTCCCGCCCGTCTCTCTTCAGAGGCTCTGTCGATGGGGCTGAAGGCCTGGATGGCCGAGGGACGCTTGGGTTCTCAGAGAGTGTGTGTGTGTGGCGGTCGCACCCCTGCCCCCTCCGGCTGGTCTGTCCCGCTGCTGTGGAACTGGAAGCTGCATAAATGAGTCCAGAGCCAGAGCAGCACCTCTAGTGTTCACCACTCTCACTCGTGGCGCAGAGACTCGTGCAGTGGCCCGGGTCACGGAGGGGTCGCTCAGTTCAGCAGCCTGTGTGTTGTTGTACACGGATGTCAGAAGGCAGTTTCTCCTTCTATTCTTCTTGTCCTACTTCAACAGTACTGTAAGTGATGAATGCGTTTATATGCATTTCATTTTCTTTAGTGGTTTTGCACATTACTATTATTTAGAAAGTTGAATATTTTATTAACATCCCTGTTTTGGATTGCTGAAATGAAATGGAGCATGAAAATGCCCTCAGCATCACACTATACAGGTTTTTTTTATTAGTTGACTTGCGAATCTTACGAGTTCAGAGCAAATGCACAAGATTTTCCGAAGGATGCGAGGCAGATTTGTTCTGCATATTTTAGCAGCTAATTGAATTTGATGGCTTTCGTTGCACATGTCCTGTACCTGTAGACAACACTGCACGATGTTGAGCGGTACCTTTCTATACACAGCCACAACTCTATTTACAGTATTAGAAAAACGCCACTTCAAATGTTACTTTATTTTAAGATTTATTTCATTAGATTTATTTCAAAAATGTCGATTTTCTTTTTGCACACTTTTTTTGTAGTAAATCTCCCCCTTCACAGCTGCAGTGCAATTATAAAAAATAATAATAATTCTTGCATTTACAGAAAACTCACAATATTAAATATTATTAAACATATCCTTTTAGTTCACTGTCACTGCAGCGCTTTTGAAATGGTTGAATTAAAAATCAGTAAAATTGAGGTTTAAATCCCATATGACCTCTGTAATAAATAAATATATTTTATTATCGAATGCCAGTTTCCTATTTGTGTTAACTAAAATGTTGCTATAATATATTAATGTGATTTCTAGCCGTTGAATCCCCTGCTTAACTTTCTTGGTGGTTGAAAATAGCTTTTATCTTTAAGTGGTCCATTTTCTTTCTTGAAATCTTTCATAACTAATTGCATGTTATATAGCCCAGGCTGGCTGTACATTTCCTGACGTGTACATATGAGAGTACATAATTATAAAATCTGCATTAATTTATTTTTAAGGGCATAAATGCTCTTCATACTGTATGAATGTATAATGTATGTATTTTTGTAATTTAAATGTTTAGAATTGTCTTGAGAGATATGAAATATTGTGACATTTTAAGAGAAGGTAGGCACCATAAAGTATTTTATTTGTGTGGTACACTACAGAATTGTCTCATGTGTTGTTTTCAATGTATATTTACAATTACTTTGTTATGAACAAGCAATTTTTTAATCTTCATAGCGTGACAATGCTGTTATTTTATTGCATTGATAGTTAATCAAGAACATCTGTCTCTTTGGAGTTTAAAACATGTTGAACTTTCTACTAGTGATGGTTTTCAGCACACATAAAACACTATAGGAATGTATCGTCAATATTGTGATGTCAATATTGGGTTATTCGTTTACTTGAAACCACTGAATCACTGCTTTTGTCAATAAATAGTGTTGAAAACCCCATTTTTTGGTGAAACAGTTACTTCTACATCAGTGCATATGCTAAATGATGTCAATAAAAAAGATCAAAGATTGTATCTTGGAGCATTTATTTTACACACATCGATAGAAAAGCTTTTCCCAACTTTCATTCATGTTTCCTGCGGTGTGTGTTGTGATGTAAAGTCTAGACTCATTTGCTCGCTCTCGGTTTGAAGAGCAGCATCAATCTGTGACTTCAGGTCTGGATCGAAAAACGCATGACCGATTGTGAAATATTCCTGGAACACAAAATTAAAGAACAATTCAGAAAAATAAATTACAAACAAAAAAGTAAAGCATTGTTAGATGGAAAAAGACCTTTTTCTTTGTGGGAGGCCCTGCGACAGGCGGGTTGAAGGTCATGTCTTTAACACTGTAGTCTTCAAACAGCTGCACTGGAGTCCTGCACACAGCACAGACAACATGAAAATCTCCATATTCATCAGGAAACCTGAAATCTGGAGCCTGTGGTCTCTACCTTCTGCTGAGCTCCATGCTGAGCGCGCCTGACCCTTCACTAGGAGCGCCTTTCATGAGATGAGCAGCAAACTTCCTCACCACGGGGTGATAGTGTCTCTAGAATGACAAAGAAATCCACATTTAAATCAGGAATCCTCTTCATCCAACAACTGACTAGTTTGACCTTTTTTTTTTTCTTCTAGACTTTTACCTTTATTTTGAGCTTTAATATCAAAGACTGCATGCTATATTTATGATTAATTTAAATTATTAACTCTCCAGCATTTTCCCAAAACTTTCAAAGGCCCCAGAATATTTTGTTGTTTTTATCATCTGTAATGTGCAGCAACTTTTATTCCAAAACACACATTTGGATGACAGAGGATTCAATTTTGCTCTAACTAAATATGTTTAGGCTTTGCTTTCATAATACGTGTTGAACTTACTGAGTGGGGGGAACTAAAACTTTTTTTTGTGCTGATAATGTTTTGTAAACGTTTCGTTTGATTTACCAGTATTTTACATTGTTTATATATGTAACAAAATGTGTGACACACTGATGCAACTTATCTGTGCTTTTCCTCTCAATGTAATTTCAACCCAGAGAATTCATTAAACTGAAGCCTACTGGCAATTTAAAATAAACAATTGAGAATTTAATTTCCCACTCTGTTTTAATCTGACTGTCAGTAATAACCACTGGAATGAGTGAATGAACATTGCGCTTCACCTTCAGTAAGTGAAGCTCCCACAGTCCTGTGTTCTGGGGGTTGCAGTATTCAGGCACATCCAGCTCTGGGAGATACACACCACTGCCCTGCATTTCATTATCCAGCAGGATGTCACACTTAGGGAAGGTCTACACAAACACAAGAGAGACAATTCATACATTCACCCTAAAAGTCATAAGTGCGAAGGCCTCCATTAGCTGAATTGAAGGCTCACATGCATCAGCGTCCTATTGGCTGCCAGGATTCCCACACAGGAGTCGGGCAGCACGTGCAGGCCGAGTGTGCTCAGTCTCTTCACGAAGGCCTGTGCCCTCAGCAGATTGACCTGCTTCCTGCGTTTGGTCAGCATCACGTCCAGACACTGCAGCACGATCGTCGTGTCATCATTCGCACCTCCTGCAGACAATCCAAGACAATAGCTGTGTTTGTGAATTAAACTTGTGCGAACAACTTTGACTATTGCATAAAACATCTGAGAATAAAGCAGCGTTTCCATTCCATGTGTTCAAGAGAGCAAAATACCCACTTTCCTGGAAACCTGGTGCAAAGTATCAGAAATAAACGATGCTGGTCCTCGCTATACGCAAAGTACGCATGTTGTGTCGGCCCCTTGCTCTCAGAGAGGATTTAATGACTAGGGAAGTGAATAAAGGGATAGTTTACCCAAAAAATTTAAATTCTGTCATTAATTATTCACCCTCATGTCATTTCAAACCTGTAAGACTTTCGTTCATCTTTGGAACACAAATGAAGATATTTTTGATGAAATCTGAGAGATTTCTGTCCCTCCATTGACAGCTACGCAATAAGCTCATGAAGAGATTGTAAAACTAATCCATATGAATTGAGCGGTTTAGTCAATTTTCTGAGGAGACGCAATCACTTTATATAATGAACAGATTGAATTTAGGCTGTTGTAAAATACAGTCCTGCCTGGACCAAATCGGGGGTAAAGGATAAAAATCTAGCTGTGACGATCGGTTTATGCTCAATCCGTTTATGGAAGGAAAACGGGTTAACACGTTTACATGATCGCATGCATTGTCGGCTTATTAACCACAATGAGGTTAAGAACATGCATGTAAACACTGAAAAAAGAAAGAAAGAATGTAATTAAAACATATTAATCTGAAATACTATTTCAGTCTTTCTACTTCAAAGTGTCACATTTAATACAATGTGTAAATTGCCATTTCTTTCTAAGTATCTGAAATTTACTGCAATTTCTAAAAAATTCCTAAATAAATTTTTTTTTTCATTATGATTAGTCTAGTTATCCAATCATATGATCCTTTGAGGCAAAGTCATGTGAGTTTTTTGTAGCGCACCCAGGAATATATTAGATAACTGTGTTTCCAAATAAATCCACATCATCTGAAAACAGGCTCTCAATAGGAGCAAATGCAGCCATTGGAATCAGAAATGCTAGTCAACTAGCTTGACCTTTTTTTGTTAAAGGGGTCATATAATGGTACATGCACTTTTACAAGTTAATTGTACTGAAATGTGTGTTGGCAGTGCCTGTACACAACCATCATATAATGATAAAAATCCATCCAGTGTTTTTGTTTTAATCTCCTTATATGTTTTCCCCTGCCTCAAATCGAGCCGTTCGTTTTTGTGACGTCAATAAAACGGACGCCCCTCCCACGATTGTTGATTGACAGCAGTCAGCACAGGAGTTTCAACACAGACCCGCCCTCGCTCGTGAGAGCTGTCAATCATAGTCTGCGCGGACCGGCGCGGTCATTGTTGATATGCTGGAGCACTGTCTATGAGCAGAATGGCGTCTAAGCGATTGTGGTGTTCTGTTCTTGGGTGTAATAACGAACACAGTCATTTTAATGTTCCTAAATCCGAAACGCTGAAGACACAGTGGCTGAGTTTGTTTTCGAAGGGAATATTCCCCACGAGCAACGTCAATGCTCTCATGTTTGCGCGAATCATTTCACACACCAGACTGCTTTATAAACGAGGATCAGTATAAAGCTGGATTTGCTAAGAAGCTGCTCGAATAAAGGAAGAAGCTGCTCATGAATAAAGGATCGGTACCAGATATTCGTGTTCCTGCTGAATCTCCAGAAGAACTGAAGTGAGTGTAACGTTTTATTAAACTTTATATTAATATTTATATCTTTGCAAATCGCTAGCTGCACGCTTCACAATGAATGCGTCTAAGGTTTACACTCAGGGTACATTACGGCATGTTTTCTATGTACGACATTCTCAATATAATTCATAATCCCACGTTTATACTGAACAATCTCTATGGCTCTGTGAACAATGCGTTATGGTTATTGTGTTATTGTGTTACAAACGGTGTATGCACAGAACAGAGAGGCGGGGTGAGCAAAGCTCATTATCATTTAAAGTAGGGGTGTGCAAAAAAATCGATTCACATTTGAATCGCGATTCAATCTTTACCGATTCAGAATCGATTCATAGAATTCCAAAAATCGATTCATATTTTTTTTTTATGGCGTGCACGGTTGGAGTGGCAATCGGGTGAGTCGGGACTTTTACCGGTGGTTCGGTAGTGTTTCGAGGCTGCGAGGGCCGGTCTGATAAATAGTTATACATTGCAAGTTCTTGCCGCCCGCTGGTCAAACTGTGCAGCCTCTCTGCTCAACCCGTGAATAAATGCATCGATCCGCAGAATATGTTTGAGTTCTTAATGGTCTGTAGATCTTTTGCCAAGCGTGTCTGTCAGAGGTTACGGGTTCTAAACCGCACTCGTATAGTTTTTTCTCTCTCTCATCAAAACCGAATATGTTCATCACGTTTGTGTGCATTTTATTTTTGAGATTTTACCGGAGTCTCCAAAACGGCGATAGATTGAAGAGCGCGTCCGAGTGAAGACTGCTGATAGCAGCGGACACGAGCGCGCTCAGCTTGATTTCAAAAACAACAGATCTCTTACTTAATAGCGAACTAAATAAATGCTCTGCTAGTTAACTGGAGATACCCGCAAATTACGCCTATGAACGACTTCACTGGATCTAAACAAATCAATCTAACCATAGATGTTACCAGTAGCGGTGGCTTTTTAAAATCTATTTAAAATTATTTCGCAAGGGTTCTATGACATTAGTATATTTTTAGGAAGTTCAATGTGCCCAGTCGAGTTCACATTTCAACAGTCAGCCTGGTAGCTGAAGTAGTCCTTAAACCACATTTAGCATAATTGTTTGTTTGATCTGACTACAGCACTTTAAAGCTAAATGTAAAAGCTTTTTATTTAAGTTTTATTTTAAACTTGAATTAAATGTATTTGAAAGCTGGCCAAAGCTTGGCACTTTGCACTTTTTAGTTGCAAAAGTTTTTATTTTTGTATGAAGACATAAAGTAATATCAAACTACATTTAATTTGTTGTGTTTTTTTTTCTTTTAAATTGTGTCTACTGCAATCAATCACATAGGAAAAAGTAAACTACATTTATATACTGTGAATCGTTTTTTTGAATCGAGAATCGTTTTTGAATCGAAAATCGATTTTGAATCGAATCTTTAGAGACAAAAAATCGGTATCGAATCGAATCGTGACATTTTCTGAATCGTGCACCCCTAATTTAAAGTCATATGCACTGAAACGGCGTGCTGAAAACAGAGCTGTTTTTGACCAGGTAAAATTAGTGTTTTCTTACAATACTAATGAGAATTTTTAATTAAAGTATATTACAAAGTTTTAATTTAGACCCTAAAGAATCATATTAGCTTGTACAAAAATGGCATTATATGACCCCTTTAAGTAAATTGTGTGTTCAATAATAGTCTATCTAATGGGTCTCGCAACGAAAACATTTGATTGTGTAAGTGAGGGGATGTTCTTGCCCTGTGTCAGATCTCAGGACATCTCACCTGCGTGCAGCGTCAGCAGGGTTTTGTATAAGTGGCTGTAGAATTTCAGAGGGTCGATGTTGAGGACGTCACCTGTTGGAAACAGAGGTGTGTTTTAGCTCAGCGAGAGCAGGATGTTCCCGAAACGAGAGCTGAGGCTGAACTGACCTTGTCCTGAGAGGATGTGGAAGGATGTGAGAATGCAATGAAGGCTCTCACGATACGTCAGATCCTGGGTGAAGGAAAGCACTGAGATGTTAGTGCATACAATTTTACCCTGATAAATCACGAAGCCGATGCTCCTGGTTGAAACACTTACACCCGATATGATGAGGCCGAAGAGCACCGCCAACAAATCATCAAAGAACTCCAAGTTTATAAGATGAGCAAACCTTCAGGAAACAGTTTGAACCATGTTATTCACATAACAAAAACACAGGAAAAGTGACCCCGGGTAATAACGCTATAATAAAGCTGTTATACACATCATGTGGCTCTTACTTGGCAAGACCTTCTAAAACGGAGGGCAGTAAGATGGACTTCTGAGCTTTCTTCAGTATTCTGAAGTAGATGAGGAACACAATGTTCAGCGTCTCTGTGTGCTGGAATCAAAGAGAGATGAAGACAATATACGATAACATTGATGCATTAAAAGGAAGTGTTCAACTCGAATAGCACTCACCAGTTTAATTTTCTTGTCCTTGCTCTCTGTCGCCTCAGCTTCCAGAAGCTCTTTCTGCAGCTTCTCCTCGGCTTTTTTCCACTGTTGAGGACGAGAAGATTGAGGATCACGGAAACAAAACGGATTTTTTTTTTAGTCAACCATACCAACATATAAGTAGATATACGGCTTTTCCAGCGGCTTTGGTTCAGGAAGTTTATTTCACATTATTTTAATCCATAAACATTTCAAAAAGAATTCAGTTACAAACCTACCAACTTTTAAAGATTACAATACAAAACTATTGATTAAATAAAGTATAAAAATAATTAAGTTTATTATACAATATTTCAAAAAAAGTTTGGGGTCAGTAAGATTCTTTGTATCTAGAAACTAAAGCTTTTATTCAGAAAGGATGATTTAAATTGATCAAAATGGCAGTTAAAGACTTAGTTAAAAGATTTACTCCAAATAAAGGATGTTCAGGTCTATTCAGCAAAGAATCTGGTTTCACTTTTTTCCCAGCAGCAGCAAAACTGTTTTCAAAATTGATAATATTTTTTTTATTTTAGCAAATCATCATATTAGAGTGATTTCTGAAGGACCATGTGACACTGAAGACTGGAGTAATGATGCTGAAAATTCAGCTTTGATCACATTTTAAAATATAAAAACAGTTATTTCAAACAGTAAAGCTATTTCACAATTATACTGTTTATATTGTATTTCTGGTAAAGTAAATGCAGTCTTGGTGAGCAGAAGAGACTTCTTTCAAAAACATTTGCAAATCTTGCAGACCTCAGACTTTTCAACAGAAACCTCCCATGATTGGGGAATGTAGTTGCAGGCAGTGGCTGGTGTGTCGTTTTTAAAATGAACCAGTGTCCAGTAGGGCTGGGTATCGATTCAGATGTTCAAATTCGATTCGATTTCGATTCACAAGCTCACAGTTCGATTCGATTTCGATTCTCGATTCGACTATAATGAATATAGATGTAATACAAATCTCAGTCTAAATATCAGTTATCATTTTTTAGACAATTTTTTATTACATTGATCTCACCTAAATGTTTGTTTTTACAATGGGGTAATTTTTTTGTTAAGAGTTTATGCAACACATGGAAGCTTGATTTCAATCTTTGAATTAAATTGAAAAAAGTAGCACAAATAAATACAATAGAATAGCCCTAAAAAGACAAATAAAGAGACATAAAAAGAAAAGTTTTTGGGTAGGTCAGAAATACTACAGAAACTGAATAAAGTAATCCAATGTAAAATAACACTGGATAGTCTTTTAGTCCTGACTGAATTAAATACATAGGCTATTAATTCTGATTCCTTACAATTAATGCTATATTATGTTGTTTTGACAACAAAATTAATGACAGACACATATGGCTGCGTTCACTTTAAGAACTAGTGCACGGATCCATTACTGTTTCATTATACTGTCTGTCACACGCGTTTTATGCTTATTTAAGACATAACCGACTGTCTTTACGAGGTTACTCACCAAGACCAGAGTTTTGGCATCATTTTGCGTGTTTTTAACTGTTAAAGCGCTATAATCCACGAAAAAGAACTTTTGTTACTGGCGAGCTGTTTGTTGTGAGGCGGATTTAGGCTGCACGCAATGAAAAACATGCACGAGTGCGCGAGCACAGGATAGTTTAAAATTGCTTCAAAAAAGACGTGAAAATGATAAACGTTAGTTACGATGCAATGCTGGCCCGATTGTGCAAGTGAATCATGTCCCGACTCCTAAACACGAGTGTGTATCGACGCCTGCAGCGCTTGACGCTTGCCTTGTGCAGAGAGAGAAGACGCAGCACCGCGAGCCCTGAATATGGAAAAAATCGATTCGTGGCCGTTGAGAATCGATTTTGAATCGACCACATTTAAAAAAACGATTAATCGAAAAATCGATTTTTTTGCCCAGCCCTAGTGTCCAGTGAAGAAACACTGATCTAAACCATTGCTCAACTTCAAATCATGACATTTAATTGACAACATTCGGCTTAGTTCAGACCTTCCGCTGCATCCTGGACAGATTTGCCTTCCTCTCCTTGAACAACATGAACTTCTTTTTGGGTGCAGTGTCTTCCGTATCTTTCTTCATGTCCACTTCTTTTATCCTCAGACAGAGGAGACACTTCAGCACCTGTGCATTCATATCACAAACATCCTTAATGACAACAAGCCATTCAAAACATGTCATATACACATCACATCCTCAAGGGAAAGTCCACACAAAAAGAATTGTCATTAAAAAGATATTTTGAAGAATGTTGGCAACCAGTTTCGGTTCACATTGGAAAAAATAGCGTGGAAGTCAATGGGAACTGAAAAAGGGTTTTGAAATACAACATGAACACAATAAGTACATTGTATATAATAGTTTTTGGACCCAGAAGCTAAAACTGTTTACAATTTTTAAAGGGTTGATTCACCCAAAAATTAAAATCATTTCATAATTGACTCATCCTCAAGCCATCCTAGGTGTATATGACTTTCTTCTTTCAGCCAAACACAATTGGAGTGTTAAAGGGATAGTTCACTTTGAAATTAATTGTTGGTATGTTTTAGCTTACCTCAAGGGCATCCAAGATGTAGGTGTCTTTGTTTCCGCAGTAGTTTCAATTTTGATATTTTTAGGTCAAACCGTTCTTGTCTGTCAGTCATATAATGCAGGTCTATGGTCACCACCTCAAAGAGCATGCACAGAGAAGTCCAAATTAAACATGATTTAATGACTCGTAAATGTAAGTACACATTGATGGCCTAAGACACGAAACGAGCGGTTTGTGTGAGAAAACGAACAGTATTTATATCGTTTTTGCCTCTTGTAAACACAGCCACGTCCAAGTGATCTGAGGGCGCCGGCGCTTCGGTCTGCGCAAGCGCCGGAAGTGATCTCTCGCGCGTGTACGTCACTCATACAATTGTTTTATTTTTTTTAATTGTTTTCTTTTACGACGGTTTAAACATCCCGGATAAGCGCAAATTAATACCATTTTAATTAGCCGTCTTACCTACAATCTCTGTTCTGTGTAAACAATGAGTGACGTACACGCGCGAGAGATCACTTCCGGCGCTTGCACAGACCGAAGCGCCCGCGCCCTCAGATCACTTGGACGTGGCTGTGATTACAAGAGGCAAAAACGATATAAATACTGTTCGTTTTCTCACACAAACCGCTCGTTTCGTGTCTTAGGCCATCAATGTGTACTTACATTTACGAGTCATTAAATCATGTTTAATTTGGACTTCTCTGTGCATGCTCTTTGAGGTGGTGACCATAGACCTGCATTATATGACTGACAGACAAGAACGGTTTGACCTAAAAATATCAAAATTGAAACTACTGGGGAAACAAAGACACCTACATCTTGGATGCCCTTGAGGTAAGCTAAAACATACCAACAATTAATTTCAAAGTGAACTATCCCTTTAACACTCCAATTGTGTTTGGCTGAAAGAAGAAAGTCATATACACCTAGGATGGCTTGAGGATGAGTCAATTATGAAATGATTTTAATTTTTGGGTGAACTAACCCTTTAAGTAAATTGTCCATTTTGATAATTCTCTGTGAGAACTTGTATAGAGGAAACAATGTTCAGTATGATGACTGCACCTCTGGCTTGACGTTGTAGTTCCTGCTCTTGACCATCCCTGAGATGACCTTCACCATTGCTAAAGAGGCCTGACCCAGTTTATCCTGTTTCAGCAGTTTCCTGACCGCTTCACAACTCATCTCAGACACCTGAACGCAACATCACATCATCACATTACTACAGCCCACATGCAAACCTCCAATGCTGAGTGTTTCCAGAAGACTGACCGTCCTGATGGGGTCGTTCATCAAAGGCACCACCATGACTATGATGTTGTTGTGGAAGTTGAAGTGTGGCAGGGCTACCAGCAGATCACAGATGCACCTGATGGCCACCTCAGCAAGACCTTTATAACACTGAAGAGACACGGCTTGACTCCTCTTCTGCTTCTTCTGCTTCCAGTCTGAAACAGCATCAGATCAGTCAGACGGGACAGCGAAAAAGGATGGATGAGAAGTTAGAAGCACAGATCACATGATCTACCTTTGATTGTCTGTTCCAGATCCTCCAGGTAAAACTTGTACTGGCTCACGAGACCCTCCTCAAACTCTCTCAGCTGCTGCGTCTCTTTTTTCACCTGGAGAACAAACGGACATGCTTCAGTGGGTCATAGAAGATATTTAAATCCAGTCATTTAATCATTTCGTTGTCTCTGGGGTCCGATTATCCACTTCTTCAACCAAGATGATTAGTTGTAATGAGCATTTTTCACTTTAAAGCAGCACTAAGTAGGAATTCCGTTTTTGTCAAACAGCGACCCCTAGAGTCGCTTTGGTGGAGTACTTGTACTGTCGTGAATAGCACTCAACGCAGAGATGGCTCGCACTCACGGCCGGATCCCCTCCCCCTGTACACCGGTACCTGTTCAGTAGGATGGACGCTGTAACGAGTGGAAATAAGGTATGGCCCCTTTAAGAGCTGCGCGCGCCCAACACCACATGTATACGGCGCCACATTATTTCTGTTTGATGCTCATTTTATCAGATCTGTTTTTATGCCGTAAAGCAATTCGTTACCTCGCGAGACCTGATATCACACGATACGTCCTAACACTGAGGCCAGCGGCCCAAAGTTGCAAGGGTGGTTTTGCGGCTCACAGGCACCAGGGGGGTGCGAGACGACCACCATTCCACACGAAATCAGTAATATAAACATTACAATGACTCCAAAGCTGTTCGGTTAAGGTAAAAAAGTTACTTAGTTCACCTTTAAATGACCCTCAGGGGTAAACAGGTCAGTTTTTGTTGCTGTGCCTTACGTATATATAAATGCCCTTTTCTCAGATAGAAATGATCAGGAACCTTTTATAAATTAAACTCAAGTCAAATATATATATAAAGCCAAAAACACCACGATATTTGGCAGATTTACCCATATTTAGTTCTAATAATTAGCGTATATCCTGCTTTCTCATTCATGGTATCAAGTTTATTTGAGTTTTATCAAATTTAGGACCCTTTTTAAGACTTGCACAAATAAATCGTGAAATAAATCACCTAAAACAGGGTAACTGGCAACTGCATGTTTAAAATAGGTTTTATTCAATATATACATATGTACTGACATTGGTTTAAAAACCAATATATTAATACACACACAAATTAGAAGTTGATCGATATTAGATTTTGCTCATACGATGATGTTTAAATAAAGGCAATAAACAAATGATTGTGCAGATACTGAAAAAGTCTATAAAGTGAACGTGATAAATAATGGTGTTAAATAATGTCGCCGTAGAGAGAAGACTAAATGCCAGGTGCAGTTTAAGTAACCAAAAGAAAAAGATTTTATGCATAATGCAAGACTTATAATTATAAACAAGCCGGAAATACTCTAAAACTCTTATTTTGAGAGGTCTACGTTACTACTCCCAGCTGCTCGTTCACAAAGACAAGAGAGATCTCTACAACATATTACAATATAAATACCATGAAGTAAACATTTTCACAATTCATCAAAACAACTGCTCGAAACTGCAATTCTGTAGAACGCGCAATATTAAATAATTCGAATTAAACCATTGCCCTTTGAAGTTTAATAATTTACTTTTTTGTGATTCCTTTTTTTTCCTTCTCCAAATTTAAGACCTCTTAAAATGATAATTTAAGACCTTAAATTTTATCAAACCGAATTTAAGACTTTTTAAGTACCTGCAGGAACCCAGTCATCACTACCTGCCCAATAAGCATGCAAGTTGGGCCAGTAACGTGACAATGTGTTTATCTGTCTGCCATCACACACCTGAGCATTTCAGAACAAGTCGCTCTTGCAGCTCAGTTGCACGAAATGCTTGTAGGAAAACGAAACGTCTCCTTTAAAGGAAGGTGAGGCACTGTACCTTCGTGGATTTCTCCTCTTCCGTCAGTGGTCGGATTCGATACGCTGGCACAATGTCCTTAAACACCTCCATGAGGGAGACCATGACTAACTTTCTGACCGTGACGGCGACGCACGGGTCCGTCTCCATTAGCATGGCCCTCAACTCCTTCAGCTTCTTGATCTGAAACGTCACGACACATCTAAGAACACTCCAGATCACACGCAGAAGTTCAGTGTGAAGGACAGTCTTACGTTCACATGAGGATCTGCGAGGACAGCTGAGGACACACTGGCGATGTGCAGCTTCTTCTCCATCAGTCTCTGAGTCCGCAGCTTCAGCTGCTCCTGAGGAGTGAGGGATGGACCGCTCTCTGGTTCCTCCTCTGATGTTAGTTCAACAAAACCAGCCAAAATATCAGCAAATAGGTGCACTGAATACTCAAAACAATAAATACTGCATACACGGTTTTTGAAAGAAGTCTCTTCTGCTCAATAAGGCTGCATTTGATTGATCAAAAACACAGTAAAAACGGTAATATTGTGAAATATTACAATTTAAAATAACGGTTTTCTATTTTAATATTTGTTAAAATGTCATTTATTCCTGTGATGCAAAGCTGAATCTTCAGCATCATTTCTCCAGTCTTCAGAAATCATTATAATATGCTGATTTGATGCTCAAGAGACATTTCTCATTATCAATAGTGTTTGACCGAGAGTGATTTTTTTGATGGCCGATATATATAATATCACACTATTTAACTTAAAAACACTATAGTGGATAGTAAAAACACATATATAACAATTGCTGAAATGAAATTGTATTATACTATTTTGTTCAAAAGAACATTTACTTGAAATAGATAACTTTTGAAACATCATCAATGACTTAAATGTGAATTTTAAAACTATTTAATGCATCCTTGCTTAATAAAAGTATTAATTTCTTTAAAAAAAAAAAGTTATAGTATGGTTTTCCCAAAGTCCTAAACTGCAGGGGTTCATGAGTTGATGAAAAGCTATTCACTTATTAAATCACAAAATTTTTAAATGAAAATAAGTAATTTAAAAATAAAACACTTACTAAAAAGATTAAATATTTGAGTTTTGAGTAGTTTGCCTGCATGTCATGTGAGCATTATGCAACATCAGAGAACTTGTGAACATGCGATTGTGTTGTTAAATTATAGAAATATTAACTTATAATATCATCTCAGAGAATTCATATATATATATATTTTATTTTTATTTTTTTTACACGCGCGAGAGATCACTTCCGGTGCTTGCCGGAAAAGACCGAAGCGCCGGCGCCCTCAGATCACTTGGACGTGGCTGTTTACAAGAGGTAAAAACGATATATATACTGTTCGTTTTCTCACACAAACCGCTCGTTTCGTGTCTTAGGCCATCAATGTGTACTTACATTTACGAGTCATTAAATCATGTTTAATTTGGACTTCTCTGTGCATGCTCTTTGAGGTGGTGACCATAGACCTGCATTATATGACTGACAGACAAGAACGCTTTGACCTAAAAATATCAAAATTGAAACTACTGCGGAAACGAAGACACCTACATCTTGGATGCCCTTGAGGTAAGCTAAAACATACCAAAAATTTATTTCAAAGTGAACTATCCCTTTAAATATTTTGCATCAAAGGGGTTAGGCTATCAAAAAAGTTTTTGTGGGAAGTTTTTTTTCTTCTAAAACGAGACATGACAACAAAAACGACTACACTGCGCTATCCCAACCTCACCCTTGAGATGAAAGAAACTTGCATTTGAAGAAGAGAAATGCACACTAACCCATCTCGAACTCCTCCTGGTCCTTCGGTTCCTCCTCCGCCTCCGGCACAACTAGAGGACACAATCAAACAGCACAGTTCATCACTACACATCCTCTCCAGCACGCCAGCATTTCCTGCAGAGTCACGAGTGGACACACACCGGGCTTCTCCATGGACTGAGGGATCAGGCCGCTCTTGTCTTTGATGGGCAGCAGGTGAATGAGCTCCTTCTCCTTCTGCTGCTGCTGCATCTTCCTGGGCATCTTCTCGTAGTTCTCCACCGACTGCTCGGACTTACGCTTTTTGGCATGAACTGGAGCACTACAAGTTTTCAAAAAAGAAAAAGAGCAGGAGAGAAGATGATCACAACAGACACTGTGTCCACAGTCTATGAAGAAAGAAACATCGGAAGATTGGACGTTTTAAAGACCTTGATGAGATGTCTCGAGTCAGAAAGGAAGCTTTATGTGCCATGGCTTTGATCTGCTCGAGGTCCTCCTCATCCATCATATCAGTGGGCAGAGACTCCAGGAACTCCTCCTCCTCTTCTTCATCCTCTGGTATCATACATCATCATTACAACACTGAGCAGGAGTTAGTGGAAATCATCAGAAAGCAGTGTCGTGTTTCACCTGGTCTCTTCTTGTAGCGCTCCAGGGGTTTGAGGGTCTGATGGGAAACATCAGTAATGGCCTGTCGGAGTTTACGCTGCTCTTTGCGCTGCTTCTTAGCGGAGCTCTGTTGCTTAAACTGTCGATTCTTCTGTTTGTTTTCTAGCTTCAGATTGCTGGTTTTCAGCAACTTTCTGAAGCTAGGCCTCTTTTTCTTGTTCTTTTTGGAAGCCTTGTGTGAAATATGCATTAAAGCACAGTTAAATAATGCATGCTGGTGTACGTTACAATTATATACATAAGACATAAGTTGTTTATACATATGACAGATGAAACAAAACAGAATTCAGAGGCTGACTTGTATAATAAAATATTCCAAAAAGAGTTTTACCAGTCGTGTATTGACTATTGACTATCTACAAATCAGTTATGATGCAGAACAAAACAGCAATGAAGGGTTAAACTCTAAACATCAAGAGTGCAAAATGGACACATATGGACTGGTGTGACTGTAAAACAGAGCACATGTTTGCAAATTTGCACTTCAAAGTAAGATTTCAAAGAAAATTTTAAAAACTTTGACAATAAGTAGTCTTTAATTCTCTCTCTCTCTCTCTCTCTCTCTCTCTCTCTCTCTCTCTCTCTCTCTCATCTATATATATATATATGTGTGTACCGGTCAAGAGTTTGGAAACATTCCTATTTTAATGTTCTTGAAACAAGTCACTTGTGCTTATCAAGCCTGCATTTATTTAATCAAAAATACAGAAACAAAACCAGTAATATTGTGAAATATTAATACAATTTAAAATTACAATTTAAAATAATGGTTTTCTATTTTATTATACTTTTAAAATATAATGTATTCCTGTTATGCAAAGCTGAATTTTCATCAGCCATTTCTCCAGTCTTCAGTGTCACATGATCCTTCAGAAATCATGCTAATATGCTGATTAATTATCAATGTTGGAATAAGTTGTGCTGCTTGATATTTTTTTAGGAACCTGCGATACTTTTTAAAAAGATTATCGCAGGTTCCAAAAAAATATCAAAAGAATCCTGAAAAAAGTATCACAGGTCGACAAAAAATATGAAGCATCACAACTGTTTCCAAACATTGATAATAAACAACAGCATATTAGCATGATTTCTGAAGGATCACACTGGATGACATTGAAGAGTATTTTAAAATACAAAGCCATTATTTTAAATTGTAATAATATTTCACATCACAACATTACTGTTTTAACTGTATTTTTGATCAAATAAATGCAGGCATGATGAGCATAAGAGACTTCTTTCAAAAACATTAAAAATAGTAATGTTTCCAAACTTTTGACCGGTACTGTATATGTGTGAGTGTATGTATATATATATGATACAGTATGGGGTTGAGAAGTATGCTATCTGATACACCAGGAGTTTAGTACAGCTTGAGTAAAACTAGTATAGTAACTTATGATGATAAGTGTCGTTTGATATGATCCTGAAGGGACTACACTGGTACAGTATATGATACAGCAGACGTTAGGCTAGTATTGTATATAGTTTTGACTAGAATAATATATGAGAAACAAGGGCTGTTCAACCTGAAGCGTCACATTTACACGCTGAATTGAATGTAACGTTAACTGAAGCGTTTCACTGAAGCTGAACAGCAGCGGGTGTTTTTAAACTCACTAGCGCATTAGTTTGTCTTACAAGTATAAAATAACTTACCGGGCCCATTTTGATGATTGATTCGCCTCAACTATCAATGAAGTTTCAAATGTGTTAATCAGTTTAATCCAAAAAAAAGAGTGCAAGTATCCCCTCTTCACACATGTACCACATGGACCGGAAGTAAACCAAGGGAGATCTTCGATGAATGCAGGGACAGACGTCAGGCTGTCTTCGAGCGCCACCTGGTGATCTGGGTGAACGGATACGATGAGAACACGCTTTCATAGATGCTTTTTCTTTTTCTTTGCTTTCATAGATGCTTTTGCGAAATTATTTGTAAAGCAGCTGAATTTTTCCTCTAAATAAATTTCAGTATATATTGATTACCCCCTAAATTTTAAATTTGCTTTTGTACATTTCAGTGTTTATCATTTCATTTGTAAGTATTTGTTTTCATGTATTTATTTGTTCTCTTTCAATGTATGTTGCTTGAATAGATTGTGTTTAACACAACTAAGGTATATACAAAAATAACACATAAATTGTATTTGAGTCACGCAAAAAAAAAAAAAAAAAAACTACAATTGTAGTTTTAGATTTATTTACACATTTGAATTTTGTGGTGTCAAATATTTCACCTATTTACAATTTATCTTCACTCGAGTATGAAAACTGTACAATAAAACAAGGAGTGTGTAGAAAACAAACCAAGAATTAATGATACAATTTACATTTTTCATCAAGAAACATCACCAAATCGAAAAATGTTTAGAGACCCAACATTTACAGATATTAGGGGTAAACTCCACGATAAACAATCCATTTCGTCAAGTTATTAAACTGAAATAAAGCACAAAAATGACTCAAGTTTGAATATTATACCACACATTCTTATTCTTTAAGTGGCAAATGTCAGAAAACGTACATTAAGCACACAAATGTCTGAATGCATTATTCACATCGAGCTTGTGGGCTCGACTGTCCCACTGACAAGAATAAGATTTAGTTTTAAAATTAGGCTACATATTAGTGTTTTAAAAGACGAACAATGGGATGTCGACTTCCAAAATGCAATAATTCTTCAGCAAAATGCTTCTGAATACCTTACACACTAGATGCAGTATTTCTGCATTATTGACTGCATCTGACTCATTTGTACAATTTCTATTGCACTTCATTATGGTCTTGTTCTACAAAACAAAACCATTTAAAAAAACATCACTTTTTTTTTTTTAATCTCAGAACCTCTATTCTATTGTATAAATCGCAAGTGCATTGAACAGGCTCCAAATGCATCTCCTTCAAAACAAACTTCAGCATACAAAAAGACAAGAGTGAGTGGTATGCATGTCGGCACAATTGTTCAAATGCACCACATGATTCCTCTCAATAAGGAGGAATATTAAAAAAAAAGCCTGATGCTGGTATCTGGTACAGTACATGACTAAGCTGGTGGAATATTTTCTCATTAAAGGCTTGTATTTTGAATTCATACAAAGTTTTGCTTCAGTAATACTGGCATGGTTACGAAAGAATCAAGTTTAGCTTTTTCTTCACATTGCATTGACCTCTTTGAACCCCAGTTTTATACAATCCTCTCTGCCAATCCATTCATTTGAGGAACATAATAGAAATACAAAATTGGAAAGAGTTCAAGAATTTCTCACTGAAGGACTGCTGCTTTTTTCCATTTCTTTATCCTTTATGAGGGCATTAAACACCTGATGAAGAGAAAAAGAACGCATGTTATAAGGCGACGAATAAAACTCCCTGCAGGTGGAGCTATACTCATCATCACGAAGGGTTATAAAATATAATCATTTCCTCAAAACAACTTCACACAGATTCATTTTACTAGATATCTATTAATAGAGATTATGCAAAACAATATTTGAAGAGAGCAAAATGTAGCCGGGAGCATATTTGCATTTAATTTCCTGTCCGCTTTTCCCTCACAAAGAAATTCCACTGGTTGACTGTTGGCTGTAGCGGCTCAGACAGGAACTGACCTGGGTCCACTTCCTGTTGCAGCTGATCATCTGAGTGTTGGCGATGCAGCTGAAGAGGCGTTCGGGTGGCGTGTCCTCCGGGAGTCTGGTCAGGAACTGAGCGATGTGAATGAAATCCATCTGCAGGAGCACTTCCTCATAGAGCCGCAGGATCCCGAGGCCCGTACGGAACAGGAACTCCTCCCCGTCTCTGCAGAACACATCCCACACCCGACATGCCACATCTAACGGCAGGGACTTAGTGTAGAGGGTGAAGATCCTGGAAACACAACGCATTCAGGTGTTTTGTTTAGCCTTCATGATCACAAATATGACTTTGGATGGAAGGCAGCATCAGACTCTAGTCCTAAACATCACACACTAACAAGGGGTGTGAGATACATCTATCGTCTACATCGCTGTTTTAAAGCAAGCTTAGCAAACGTGATATTGATTTCAAACAAACAGTTAAAAGGCACACTATGTCATTTTTCGCCGCTAGAGGTCGCTTATTTCAAACGAAGGCGTAGCTTGATGACGTCGTGATTTCGTCTCGAGAGCAGAGGAGCTTTTATTATGCCGTAGGCGACCTCTTCCGCTTCTTCCAGTCATATATGTGGCGTAACCGTTTAGGTACAGTTTAGATTTGTTGAAAGGTATGTTATAATGCTACTCTGTGCGTTCGCTACTATGCGGCTACTATGAGACACTTGTTACACACTGCAGTAAACTAGATCGATATTAGGTATCTTTTAACATGGTACTCACGGTAAATCAAGAAAACGAGATTTAAACAAAAAGACTGTGTTGAGCTATATAACAATGATTCGTTTTCTGTCTATAAATGTATCCAAATAGTTGCTCACCTGTCCAATAAAACACAATGTATTCAAGTGTCTTTGGTGTGTCCATGGTTTCTACAGAATAAAACGGAAACCGAGAGTAACGCGGGTATGATGTCATTGATAGGAGCAGTGTTGGGCAAGTTACTTTTAAAAAGTAATTAGTAATTAAAAAGTAATTACAGTTACTAGTTACTTCTTCCAAAAAGTAACTAAATTAGTTACTCAGTTACAAATTTTAAAAGTAACTAGTTACTTAAGAAAGTAACTATTGCGTTACTTTCAAGTAAAATTAAATTTTAAATGCTCAAATGTGACCCCACCTCTACCCTGTCCGACTATGCGTTATGATGGGTCGTTCGCAATTCATGAGTAGTGATGATGGGTCGTTCGCGAATGAGCGTTAGTGATGATGGATCGACTCGTTCGCGAATGAGCTTTTGATGGGTCGTTCGCGATTTGCGAATGAGCCGACTCTAAGAGCCGGCTCTTTTAGGTGAACGTTGGGAGCTGGCTCGCATATCTGAAGAGCCGACTCTATTTTTACAAATTTAGCCTATAGAAATTAAATAATTATGTAATAAAAATTGAAATATTATAGTCAAAGTCATTTAAAGAGCCGTTTGTGAGCCAAAAGAGCCGGCTCTTTTCAGTGAGCTGAGTCAAAAGAGCCGAATGCCCATCACTACTATGCGTGCTTTCGAACACCCGCCCAACTCTACCTCTGATTGGCTTACAATTACATGTTACTCTACCTCAGCCAATCGTCAGCATTTATGCGCTTGTCTCGTGCTCTGCCCACTAACCAAGGAAGAACAGTAAAAAAAGTATTTGCCTCTCGCTCAGAGATCTAGTTGGTCTGATGAAAAAAAAAACAGCTTCATCAGTTATAGTAACGCGCCGCATTTTTTGGCAGTAACGGTAACGGCGTTATTAAGATGAGAAGAGTAATCAATTAGATTACTCGTTACTGGAAAAAGTAATGCCGTTAGTAACGGCGTTATTTATAACAAATTGCTTATGTCTCTGGATTTAAACATTCTTAGAAACAGTTGGGATAACACAAGTACACAATTCAACAAAATATATAACATTGTTCTAGTGGTTTTGGGATATTTTAATTCACAGATCTTACATAGTGTGCCTAGAAGTTAATATTGTTAAATTTTAGACACAATTTTGTCTTTTTTTGCTGTACAAACAAAAATAGTTCCAAATAAAGACACAGCGACCTGTTGTGCGTCTTTGAGTAACACAGTGGTGTTTTGCTACTGAATGAATCAGCATTGTTTAATGAATCAATGATCCATTCAGTCACTGCACAAAATCAAATCCTCTCCTACTAGTGAGCAAAAAACAGTACAGCATCGACATTTGAAAAACAGCAAGCAAAAAGTACCCGGTTGACCAGCAACTTCTGCCGAGATTCTGAGGTGTGCATTTAATGGACACTTTACTATCCCATGATGCCACAGGAGAGGATTTGTGAATGGCGGTGAAGCGACGTACCTGATGCGGTAGGTCAGATGACAACAACATGGCAGATGTAGTACGCCAAACTTCATTCTATCTAGAATATACTTTTTTAGCGGTTATAGGCCGTTAAATGCTGCTTCTGTGCCACTTCTGCAGTGCAAACATGCATTTTGTTGATACTGATTTCATTTAATTGGTAAAAGGCTAAAAAACAGTTTTATTATTCTAATTGAATCTATTAATTAAAAGCATGCATCATATTTTATGTCAAATTCTTACTTCTAATCAATATCACACACCCCATCACATACTCAGACATACACATTTACACATCAAGCTTAGTTTTTAGACTTATTTCAAATATCCAAGAATTGTTTTCCTACATCAGAAGATTCTTCAAGGACTCACCAGTCTATCAGATACAGGTCAGGTGTGAGGTTGTAACCGTTGAAGTGATTAAAAAGCCTGGGGAGGTTTTCTTCAAAGAACACCTCAAACGCTGCAAAGTACTTCAGCATCTAATCAAAAAAACAGACACAAAATTCTAATTTATGTATGTGTGAAAACCCCAAAACTAAACTCTACGGACATGAACAAGCTGCTGTTTGTGTTACAAAATAATTATGCATTTTCCCTCAGTTTAAAGTCGACTTGTCTTGTTTTGAACCAAGAACATTCCTTCACAACACAATGTAAATAATCTGATCTATGAAACGTTGCAGTACCAGCTCGTGGTCCACTCTGAAGAAGGCCATCTGACAGGGTTTGTTGAGGAGATTGGCGAAGGCGATGAAAGCGTCGGCCTCCTCCAGGTTGAGAAT